TGAGAAAACAAACAACAAATGACAGATGTGTAGTCATGTTCCTTAATGCACTACTGGAAAGTGGTCAGATACTATGGTAATGAACATGGTTTAAAAACCTACATAAAATAGAATAAAGGGGAGATAATGCAGTTGTCAATGGTTAAATTCACCTCTAATCTCCTCTTGGCAGCTCTTTGATCTGTTTCCTGAAGGGAACTTGCATAACAGTTGACAATACTCTCTTCCCCACTTGGTCCTCTCTCATGTCAGTGAAGAAATAGATAACATGGGCAGTTTTCCTCTTAATGTCAAATCAAAATGCTACTAGACCATTAGCAACAAGCCAACTGGGTGGCAAGACTTGTCTGTGGATGCGTATTAGAAGTGTGCTTGCACTGGGGGACTTCACTCTCCAGGACCAGGACCCCTGTACCTCCCGAGCGTAATAACTATTGGAGTAGAGGGGCTGTTTCTTCCCAGTCCCGCAGATATTTGGGGTGAGGCAGGTATTACTTCCCCTTTCCCCAAGATTTTTTAGGGCTGGCTTAAATACAGTTTTGGAACTAGAAGTAACCTGTTGACTTCAGTCTTTCTCTGCTGCTCAAGATGAACCTGCTGCTTCCTGCTGGGTGCCCCTGCTGGTGAACAGTGGACCTATCTGTGCAAAGGGTGGGGCTTATTCTTGCAAAAGGAAAGAGCACAAGAAAACTAGAACTCAAAAGAAGCCAAATTCCAAATAAAATAATATTTGTGTGTATTTTTTCAAAATGGGCAAGGTTGCTAATTAACTCAGGATGACCCTCACTTTTCTAAGTGGTGACGGTTAGTTAAGAGACCAGATGTACATTAAGCTCTTAATGACTTTTAGCTCTTGATCTGCCATTCTATTGTAAGCAGAAAATGCTTTACTATGTGATTTAGTTGGCACATGAGTCACACACCAGCATATTTAGAGAATTTTCTTTCTAGCAAAGTGGATTAAAAGGTGAAGATCACTTCCCTGTTTAAAGCCACTGCATCAAATTAACATTTTTCTCCCTAAGAGACGAGAGATTTCCTTGTCTTCATTACCTGCCTCTTGATTTAATTTTTGTTAAGAAGCCTGCCCTATTTTACTATAAGCATTTTTAAATTATATTTGACATTAAGTGGACGTTAGCTTGCAAGAGAGTTGGCAAGCAACAATGAATGGTACCTTATGATCTCAACAGAGAACGAAGATGTAAAGAAGAAGTAGTAACGTAGATGTACAATGCTTACATTATATTGATTTAGTTTGAGGAACTCAGTTCAAACCGCAAAATGCAGTCTGAAACAATCTGTCTAAGATACATAGAGAATTAGCTAGCGTGCGTACAGGAGTACTGTATGTTGTTATCAGAATAATTTAAAAAAATTGTGACGACTCCTATAATTTTCTAATTTAGTGGCAAGCTATCACAGATCGGCAGGATCTGTGCTATGCCCCAGCTTTTGCACAGTCTTTTGGAGGAACCCCTTTAGTGTGCCTGACTCCCCAGGGGTTTTACTCTTCTTTCAGGGTAGGCCATACAGCCTCGCCACTTCCTAGGGAGAGCTACTGGGCTCCAGCACCCCTGCTTCACACGCTAAGCTCTTCCCAGTGAGTCCAACTGAGAGAGACTCCTGATAGAGACTTGTACACTCTTCAGGGACTAGTGCACCCCAGCCAGTATTGTAATGACATCCAGCATTTTCAAAACAGAGTAGGATTTATTAATGAGGTGGAACACAGCATAGGAAGTCCTTAGGTTAGCATAGAGAAATGAAGGTTAAAGCATAGTCCATTCTGGTCAAGCCATAATTCACCAGCCAATCTGTAGTGAACTCCATTTTCAGGCTCTGTCTTTCTGACTTCCTCTTTAATCAGTCCCCATGTGCGAGAGAGCTCAAGTTTCTTCCAGTGACCACACTTATGCTCTCCTACTCACACATCCCAGTCCTTTGTTTTCAAGTTGGGGGTCTCTGCTCAGCTTCCCTCTTGAGAGTGTCAATCCAGGAGTCATTGGAGCTTGCATTGTCTCTTTAGACCCCTTATTGAGCTGGGATGGTTTTGGCCAGTTTCTTAATGACTCTATTCATTGCACCCAGACAGGGAGGTAACACACCTATGTCTCTTAGTCCGCCCTGAGATCAAACTTAATCCTTTTCTCCCAACTGGGTAGCAATGTAAAGTATGGGGAAAATTGAGGCAAACAGAGGATTCATAAAAATATTTAAAAATATTCTCACTTTGTTACACAAGTATTGGCCAATTTAACTACTTTATAAATATTACAAAGTAAGCATACTTTGCTCTTGAATAGTACTTCTCATCTTTAAAGTGCATGGCAAACATTAATTGAATCTTCACAACACCATGTGAGACAGTCTGTCTCAGATAAATGCTATTTATTATCTTCATTTTACAAATGGAGAAACTGAGGTTAAAAGTCAGACTTGCCCAGAACTAGAAAAGGAATCAGTTTTCAAGCAATGAGGATGCTATTATTTTTGTGCTCACCCTGCTTAGTCTTGTGCACAACTTCACACCACTCTTGCACTACATGGCAGTCTTACTGTACATCTTCACAATAATATAGAAACACAAAGTCAAGGTTTAAAAAACAGTGCTAAACACTTTTAAACAAAATCAAAACAAAACTGATTTTAATAGACTAAAGCTTAAAAGTTATCAAAACAAATGCAAGTGTCTTTCTTTTACACTACATTTTCTATTTCTTATATCAGTGTTTATTTGTAATAAATATTAAAATGGAATTAAGTACAGTACTCCACGCAGAGTTAGTCACAGCTTGTCAATATAGAATTACATTTTGGTGAATATACCCTTCTCTATGTATATGTGAATCTCTTACTGATGCTAATGAAAGTAATGTGTGCATGCATCTACTTGTTGCAGATAAATATAATGTGCCTGAAAGAAGAAAGATCCCTGTACATTAACAGGAAATAGATCCCATAGGATGTCTCATTTTTGGATCTAAAGCTTTCATGTATTATTTCCATTAAACTTTCTGACAGACGGAAAAAAAGGCTGTGGAAACTACAAGACAGTAAACCTTGCATGAATGATAGCATCTGACAAGCAACCCAGTGCTAATGTTGTATTTATTAATAACAGTGATAATTAATAGCTAACTGGGAGAAGCAAGTTCCTACACTCAACTTGATAGCATTTCTCTGTCTGTCTGTTTCTGTCTGTTGTAGGACACTGATCGCTTCACTTGTATGCTATACATCTTTTCTCACCTTTTGTCTAGTTTTTGCCTTTTTAGATTCTAAAGCGTAAGGGTGGAATTTTCAAAAGCACTTAGAAATGGCATGGGAGTTTTACTATTCACCTCAATCGGAGTTAGGCCAGCACAGAAAGATTTGCAAATCCCATCCCAAATGTACACATTTGAGTGTCTGGAAGTTAGGCATGTAAATTCATTATTCAGGCACCTAAATAAGTGGCCTGATTTTAAAGATTTACAGTTAATGAGAGCAGTGTATACTCAGCACCTCTGAAAATCAGGCCATTCTTATTTAAATGCTTAAATATGGATTTAGGTGCATAACTTTAAGCACTCAAGTTTGACCTGAGATCTTTTATGGCAGGGACCATGTCTCCTTATGTGTTTGTCCAACATGTAACACTATGGTGTCCCAATTCCAATTGGGGTTTTTGAGCACTACTGCAATCTAAATGAACAAATAAAAATAATGTGCACTGGACAAAAATAAAATAAACCTTCCATATGAGAGATTTGCTCAAAATCAAATGATCTACTGTAACTAAAAAGAACAGATTTTAGTATTTTTAGTTAAAACATACACCTCTCAGATCTCATTTGAGCCTCTGTAAGGTGTTGTTATGATAACAGCTCAGTAAAACTAGTAAATTAATAAATAAATGTAATTATAGCATAAAACTGCATAGTGGTAACAATCTCTATGTTCAAGAACCTTTTGATTTTTAAAATAATACAAGAGAAAGAATCATTTTCGGAAGACCATCAAACCACGCCATTTAATAGTATCTTTCAGCTAAGGAAACATGATAATAGATTGTGATATCTATTTTAAATGTTTAGAATAATTTATAACAAAGCATGTAACACAGTAAACGGAGAGTTCTGGTAACATTATGGACCACGAGAGTGGCTTTTCACTAGATTCCCAAAATGGAATTTCCTTGTATTACATCGTGGCAATTTTTGTTTGTTTTCCATAGAATTCCATTCCATTGGGATGTTTTGTTAGAAATGTCCTGTGATTGCTTTCCATATTGTCAAGAAGTCAGATGAGTAGTGGTATCATGCCTTGTTGAGACTAATATAACTACACAGTGCCACTACAATACACATTACAATATAGCTTCTGCTGCTCAGTAGGAGTGTTCCAAACCTCATATTATAATCTTGCTGATTTATATTTCTTGTTTTAGTCCATTTTAAACTTAAAATGGGATATTTAGTGAAAGAGGTGCTTAATGCTTTCAAAAAGTAATTAGGTTTTCAAAAAGAAATTAGATTCTTTGTGTGTGGGAGTGGCAGGGGGTAGGGTTACAGGTGAGTTAGATTCAGATCTGAAAGTTCTGGGATCCATAGAAACACTTCATATAGATTGGAACAATTTTGGTCTGCTGGGGCTGAGCAATTTGTGAAAACGCATGAGAGCACTCAGCTCCGAAGGAGCTAGCCCATAATCTGTAGAGCCAAACTTGGTCTCAGATGTGAGGCTTTTGTTAAATTTAATGAGCGCTGCCCACATGTGCATCCAAATGCAGAATTTGGCTCATTAATTCAGATCATCACTTCAGTTTCTATTCCTTCTCTTTTTTGTTTATTTATAAATTAACCAAAATGTTAGGAAAGGACAAAAAGAACATGCTTTTAAAGATCTAAATTAATACTTGTTATTTATTTATTTATTTGCTAATCCTGCATGTAATGTTTATATAATTCTTATTATAAATTGTATTGAACCTTGATTTTCTTTCTTTTTATCTACAGTTTGTGGCCCATCCAAACTGTCAGCAACAGCTGTTGACTATCTGGTATGAAAATCTGTCAGGATTACGGGAACAGACCATAGCTATCAAGTGTCTCGTTGTGCTGGTTGTTGCATTGGGCCTTCCACTTCTTGCCATTGGTTACTGGATTGCACCATGTAGCAGGGTACAGATTTTTTATAAATTACATATTAAACACCTTGTACTGGTCCAGATGTTCCTTTTCAGTTACTGTCATCTTCAACGTAATCTTGCACTCCTAGTTTTGTATCACCTGAATTTTAACTGATTATTCAGATTTTTTAGAAATCGCAGCCTTGAACCAAATTCTCTTATTTTAAAGAGGGGATAAGATTGATCAAGTATGAGGAGGAAATGTTATTCTATGTGCAAGTAAATTGTGTTTGAGAACTAAGATATGTAGTAAGCTCTCTCAGACTCCATGATATTTATGTTTGTTTTAATATTTTGGGTTAGATTCTCTCCATGATACCAGCTATGCACTTGAACTTGTACAAGTACTATGTACTTTTTGCTAATGACCACTTCCTACAGTGGCCCAAAAAGCTCTATATCAGTTCCTCTCAGCTGGCATCTCAGGGATCTGATTCTGCTCTCATATAATTCTATAGCAAAACTACCATTGACTTCAATGGTACAGGACTGAGCCCTAAATGAAATACTTGTTGTTGCTAAACTGTTAGGTCAGATTGCTTATAAAGGTGAATTGCAAAGCAAAATTTAAATGAAGCACAGTTTTCTAACCACACTGTGGGGGCATTCAGAAGAGAACAACATTTTTAACAAATCATTTCATATTTATATTTTCCCCGGTGAAATCATCCTGGTGTTTCTAGGTTCACAGATGATGTCACAACACAAATACCAGCAGTCTCACTGAAATCCATTCATTCCATGATATGTGTGATGTCAACCAAATGATGTATTCTGATATATCTTCAGTAAACCAGGAAGAACAAAAGAGGATTTCACAGAGAGAAGGTTTTTTTAAAGTTTACTTAGAACTTACTTCTTTGCGTAATGTCTTCCTGGCCCTTCCCCACAAGCTCGTTCAGATGGGGTATCCAGCACAGAAATCTGTGTTCCATTTGAGTTTATATTTTGCTTTGCAGTTCACCTTTAAGAGGTGATAAGATTCTGCACACCCCATACATTTTTAAAAGGAAACTGATGTTTTCTTTCCCTGGTCATTTATTTATTTGTTTATTTTAAAGATTAATCTTTATGAAATAGCATAATTGTTACTCAGATTATCTTCTGAAATGTCACTTCCCTTGATGAGCTGTTGTAAAGGTAACCCTTATAGCTGCATGGTAGACTGATGTCATGTAAACTCATGATCAGTTTTTTTTAATGTCTGATATGGAAAAAATGACATTTCTCCAGGAGCTTTAATTCCCACTGCCAGAAACACTTGGCCGTTTTTGAATGCTCATGTGAAATCAAAGTATTGGGCGTACAGATCAACTGCTTAATACTGTAATTTAAAAATGCTTTATAAAGGTCAGGTACAAACAGGGGCTATTAAAGTCCTTTGTATAACTAGTGAATGTCAAATTAGTGCATACTTTACTGCTCAGCTCACTGAATCTGACCCCTGACTTCAGGTCCAGGAAAACCATGAGATAGGGAAACTACTTTAGACTCCTCACTCACTAAATTCACTGGCTTTCTTGTGAAAGGATATTGCTGTTAATACAGAACTTCAGATGAGGTTTTAAAATCTCACATAATATTTTGTCTTATGTCATAATTAATACCATTCTTGGCCCTATGCTATTCAACATTTTTATCAATGACCAAAAGAAAACAGAAAATAATCACTGATCAAGTTTACAGATGACACAAAAATTGGGGGAGTGATAAATAATGAAGATAGGTCACTGATATAGAGCGATTTGTATCACTTGGTAAGCTAGGTGTAAGGACACATGCATTTTAATGGGGTTAAATGAAAATATATACATTTGGGAACAAAGACTGTAGGCCATACTTACAGGATGGGGAACTCAATTCTAGGAAGCAATGACTCTGAAAAGGATTTGAGGGTTGTGGTGGATACTCAGATGAACGTGAGCTCCCAGTACAACGGTGTGGCCAAAAAAGTTCATGTGAGCCTTGGATGCATAAACGGGAATCTCAAGTAGAAGTAGAGAGGTTATTTTTCCTCTGTATTTGGCACTGGTGTGATTGCTGCTGTAATACTGTGTCCAGTTCTGGTGCACACAGTTCTGGAATGTTATTGAAAAATTGGAGAGGGTTCAGAGAAGAGCCACAAGAGAATCATTAAAGGATTAGAAAACATGCCTTACAGTGGCAGACTCAAGGAGCTCAATCTATTTATCTTAAGAAAAAGAAGGTTGAGGGGGGGACTTGATTACAGTCTATATGAACCTATACGAGGAACAAATATTTGATAATGGATTCTTTAATCTATTAGAGAAAGGTATAACACAATCCAATGGCTGGAAGTTGAAGACAAATTCAGGCTGGAAATAAGGTGTAAATTTTTAACAGTGAGGGTAATTAACCATTGGAACAATTTACCAAGGGTCATGGTAGATTCTCTAACACTGCAATTTTTAAATTAAGATTGGATGTTTTTCTAAAAGCTATGCTCTAGGAATTATTTTGGGGAGTTTAGTGGCCTGTGTTATACAAGGGGCTAGAGCACATGATCACAATGGTCCCTTCTGGCCTTGGAATCTATGAATACAACTGATATGTTTGAACTAACTTAGTATTACTCCCTTGCTATATTTGGGGAGCCAGATAATTCCTGCATCTTTGAGAGACTGTGCAGGGGTTGAGGCAAGAAGTTCTGACCACCACTAACCGTGCAATATCTCGTGAAAGGACGGGGTAACAGTAGTCCTTACACGCAGGGCTCTTCAGAGACTGCTCCATGCATATATCCCCAAGGGTGCTATTCACTCCAAAAGGGGTTGGAAGGAAGCTGGGAGAGGAAACTGGTAGAAACTGAATTTCCTAAAATGCAGTCCCTCCTGGATTTCCCAATGGTGTGGGGTGGTTGCATCTCTGCACAGTCTCCACTTTAGGCCAACATCTAAATGACACACTGGTCCATAGTTACCCGAAGTCTTTGGGCCAGAATTTGATTGCTCTTTTGTGGGTGCATTACAGGAGGTTAGGGGGAAAGAATGCCCATCCCCCAAGAACCCTTTCACTGGCACTCATTGAGTGCATAAACTGGGGAGTCACAGCACCAACAGAGGTACAAGAACCCCCCCCCCGAGGTTGGCAGTAGAATCCCTCCAGAAAAGGTGAGCAATGGCCCTGCCCCTTACCACACTGGCTTGTGGCACCGGGCTAGTGCAAATGGGATCACATGCTCCCTCTTTGTACAGGAGGTAGCAAATGCAGCTCCAGAGTGCTTTCCCTTCAGCTTCCCTGAAGTGTGCTGCTTCCTCTATCTTCTGCAGGAAGACTGCTGCTGGCCACTGCCACTGTTGTAATGCACCTCCACCCACCCCAAATGCAGCAACATTAATAGAGCCACTCTCTAGCCCACAGAGTGCTCTTTTAATCCAGATGAATTCATTTAAACATGTTAATATTTCTGAACTCGTTTTACTTTACTTTGTTGCTGTGTAAATTTTTTCAATTATTTTTTTAAAAAGTCTTGATCTGGGGGATATTTTATGCTCTGAATACATCATCCAGAGAAGAGTCTACTTTTCCTCAGGCATGATATAAATAGTGCTTTGATGTTCTGATTTGCTGAACTCGATACAGCTAATTATCATAAGTAAACTAATAATGCCCTGAAAACTTTGAATATCTTCCCTGTTGGTAGAGAAGATATTTTGTTATCCACTTTTCCCTGGGCCTGATCCACCTCTCCATTGACTTCCATGGGCATTAGATCAGGTCCTCTCTGAAAGTAGTGAATGCTGAGATGGTGTGGATGTAATTCCAGAGAGGATACTCTGCAGACATTGTCTTCTATGTGATTATGGAGCATCAAAAATGCTGACTGACAGAACATCATCCTGTATGGGTTGCCTTCTTGAGACTACTGTCAGGAATGATACCATTGCATGACTGTTCAGTGCACTTAAAGGGTATCCCTAAGCAATAGTGGGTACTTTAATTCTAGTCCACCATTATCTGTAAGTGCTTCTTTATGCTTCTGAGCTGTGTGATGCAAGGGAAATGCTGTATCTTTTTTAAAAATGAGGGACTGGTTTTGTTTTGCCTTCACAGCTTGGAAAAATTCTCCGCAGCCCATTTATGAAATTTGTGGCACATGCAGCCTCCTTCATTATTTTCTTGGGCCTACTGGTGTTCAATGCCTCAGACAGATTTGAAGGCATCACAACCCTCCCAAATGTCACTGTTACTGATTACCCTAAACAGATCTTTAGGGTGAAAACTACGCAGTTCACTTGGACAGAGATGCTGATCATGGTGTGGGTGCTTGGTAAGTATAGAATATTACTGCTTCACTCCAATTCCATGACAGATGTATTGTGTAGATAGACATTCTAAAAGAAAAACGCGAGGCCCAAATGCTGACCCCCCCCCCCAATGCAGCCGTGTATATGGCTCCAGTGGTATTCAGGGGCTACAGTGGCTCCCAGAGGAAAACTTCCAGCGCCAACAATTGGTATAAGCAGATCCACACTGCCCTTCATGCAGCCCCTGGTGTACAAAAGTGCCATGGGTAGGAAAAGCATGTTTCTAGTTTCTTCTGCTTTCAGTAAGAGCTGTCTCAGTTAAGTGAACATCATCAACATGTCTTCTTATGTTCAGTGTAATGAACAATTTTATTTAACATTGTAAAATGAGTAATTTTCCACATATTTGCAAGAGTAAAATGGCCAGCTGTGTTCTTCAGAGGAGGAAGATTGTATCACTGTATAATAAATGAAAAATTCAATGACTCACAATGATACTACTACAATGTTCAGAAATCCTGGCATTTGTGGCAGAAACCCAGGTTTGGTGTAATATCATAGATATCATATCAATAATATCATAGCTTTCAGAATGTAATAGGACTGGTGTAATATCACTGATACAATAGTGTAATTACATAAACTGCAACAGAGAGTCCTGTGGCACCTTTAAGACTAACAGTTGTATTGGAGCATAAGCTTTCGTGGGTGAATACCCACTTCGTCAGACGCATGACGAATGTAGACGCATGCGTCTGACGAAGTGAGTATTCACCCACGAAAGCTTATGCTCCAATACATCTGTTAGTCTTAAAGGTGCCACAGGACTCTCTGTTGCTTTTTACAGATCCAGACTGTAAACCCCTCTGATACTTGACAACATAAACTGGTTATTTTAAACAAGATCACAAAGTCTATGCCGTTGTATATGCCAGAAGGTCAGGTGTTTCCATGGCTCGATGTTAATGCATTAGCTAATTAGTGCTTACTTAGCACTGGAGGAAATCACAGCTTCTTTCAGTGTCAAAGGGCTAATGACTCAGTTTTTGTTACTAGACATTTTTTCATTGCCTGATCATCTGCCAGCCTGTTTGAGATTTTATGTATGTTATTAAGTGAAATGGGAGAGGAGCACTGGTAGGGTTATCCTTCCACTTTTAAAAGATATCCTTCTGCAACAAAAACATCACATTGAGAGGTCATGATGTTTGCACCGTGAAGTCATTATATTACAATGTAGCAGCCCCAATGTATGATGACTGAGCTTTGGCCCTAAAGACATCCCTAGGAAAGTTGATATAGGTAGCAACCCTGTAATACTGAAAATGTGTACTTCAGTGCCTTCCTGGTGAATCCCGATTTTATGGGAGGGAAAGTTAAATGATTCTCAGTTGTGACCAAACTGGCTCTATTCCTTTCTTGTTGCAGGTATGATGTGGTCAGAATGCAAAGAGCTCTGGCTAGAAGGACCCAGGGAATATATTTTGCAGCTGTGGAATGTTCTGGATTTTGGGATGTTGTCCATTTTCATAGCTGCTTTCACAGCCAGGCTCCTAGCATTTCTGCAGGCCACCAAAGCACAGCAATATGTGGACAACTACATTGAGGAGAGTGACCTCTCCGTAGTCACACTTCCACCCGAAATAGAGTATTTTACTTACGGTGAGTTTGAATGTTACTTTCAAATAGTAAACTAGTGGACACTCATATAAAGGGACAGTGTTAGGATTGTTAGGCATAAATAGAAACCCTTTACAACTATTTGAATTCATAATATTTACCTTAAGGTTTCTGCCCATTTGTTTTTATTTTTTATGCTTTTTAAACAGTATTTGTTGTGACCATCAGTTTAACAAATAACGTATTGGCATACTAATACTAAACAAAATAGGGCCAAATTCAGCTCAGGTTTAACTGGGCATAACCATGAAGTCCATGCAGTTGCTTATGCCAGAGCTAAATTTGACCCCTAGGGCTAGATTCAACAAGAGATTTAGGTGCCTTACTGCCACTTTAGGTACCTAAGTCCAAAATTTAGATCCTCAAAACCCTCTGCTCAGCTGCCACCTAACCCTGTAGGTGCCTATATTTCTGTTGGTGGACATGCAAAAAACTCCCTCACCTATCTCTTCTGTGGAGCCTGATCTGGTAGGCATGCTTAGAGGCTGCCTTCTGGATTGGGCCCCACACAAAACACAGCTGAGGATATAGTGCCATCCTCCTTATAGCCAGTGGTTGGAGCACTCATGTGGGATGTCAGGCACAAGTTAAAACCCCCAGTCTGCCTGATACAGAGCAGGGATTTGAACCCAGGTCTCCCAGCTGAGTGTTGGGGCATAGGGTATTTTTTAGAGTGGGTTTCTCTCAGTCTCTCCTGTCAAAGCTGTTCCACTTTCTATAAAATACTTAAATATTCATTGGAGCCGGGACTAGAATCTGGGTCTTCTAGGTGAGTGCGTTAACCACTGGGCTAGAGAGTCATTCTCATCCTCTTTCTGGTCCAATGAATGCTTAAGCATTTTATAAGGGAGGAACAGCTTCAACAGGTGAAATTGAGGAACCCCCCCCCCCAAAATATCCTATATCTAGGTTTGGCAAAATTTGATTTTTATAATTTTGATGGATAATATTGCTGTGTATTTTTAAGAATTTTTTTAGACTTTGATCTATTAAAATTTTCACAGCTGCATGAAATTATGAGGGGATCAGACAAATGTTTAATGACAGTAGATGTTGCAATTCAAAGCGTTAAAGCTTTATAAACCATTAAAACACAAATTGTCAACATCAGATGTCAAAATATACAACATAAATATCTTTAAATCAACATATCATATCTGTTTTTACTGCTCATTCACTTGTCCATTTGTAACAAGCCTAATTCACAAGTCTAAATTATTGGACTTTGACTCTAAGTTCTCAAGCAACATTTTTCTTACTCGCCTGTTTGTTCATTTTAATTATTATCGATGGAAATATTTTTGTCCGTTTGCATGTGTATGATGACCAGTGTTTACCAATAACAATCTAATCCTAGAGCCGTCCCTTAGGTAGGGCTAATTGAGGTGACAGCTCTGGGCCCTGCCCTTTGGGGAGGCCCCATGGGTCGGTGCGATTGGCCAGCGTGGTCGGTCCCGGAAGACATCGGCGTGGGAACTAGGGGTGCGGAGGGTACTGCAGCACCCTTGGGCTCCTGGCTGCCGCCCCACACGCCCGGGGTCCTGGCTGCCGCCCCACGCCCACGATCTTAGCGGAGACAGTGCCCGGCTCAGCTGCCCATGTTTCGCTGTAATGAGCCCCGGCCGGAGGCCTGAGCTACCATGGCACTATGGCCAACAATAGTCCTGCAGTTGGTGCCAGCAACTGCCAGCAGCAGCAGGCTGCCCAGCACCAGGCTGGATCCAGCCCAGCCGCCAATGCAGAGCGGGGCCCCCAAGCCGGCGGTGGCTAATTTGTCCCAGGCCATGCACGCCCCCTAGGGACAGTCCTGTCTAATCCTTCCAAGGCTACCTTAGCCCAGTAGCTAGGGCCCTCACCTGGGAGACTTGGGTTCAAGTCCTTGCTCTGAATCAGGAACAGTGGGGATTTGAACTGGGCTGATGGGTATAAGGGGGAGACTCCTCTCTCTTGTTTTTTTGGTGAGAAAATTGTAACAAAAACCTAAATAGCCTGTTGCACTCAATAAACTAAATTTGTTCCTCAGCCAACACTGCTGGCTTTCCATAAAAAAACCAAACCACCCCCCTGCCGCTTTCATACACTGCTACTGATTCAATCCTGCATATGATAACTCCTAATAAATTATTAGCCTTTCCATTGCCTTAATTAAAAAACAAAACAACCAACCAAAAAACACCCCACAACCTTTGGTGATATTGATATGATATTAACACGTTACTGAAAAAAAAAGCTAATATTGTATTTATTTCCACATAATTCACTGTTAATTTTTCTCTAAAAAGTTTTTGTATTAAATATTTATTTTACTGTCCTTATTTATGATGTCATTATTACTCTTTTATGGATATTTTATGATTTTTAACCTACAAAATAACTTTTTTATAGAACATATGTGTGGTTATATCTTATTAAAGCAGCGGTCTTTAGTCATTGATACAATTTAAATACAAAATAATTATTGTTGTTAAACAAAAATGGACTGGGACATAGCGTCCAGACTCAGGAAAGACTGAATAATGATTAGTGGTCCTATTTAGCTGTTATAGATACCTAAACAAATTAAATAAAGAGAAATAAAGATTAGGTACATATAAGAATACTACTATGTATTAATTTTATTTTGGAAAATTTTATCACGTACAGAAACATGCAAATATTAGTAGTGATTTTAATTATTATAGAATCTATAATTGTTATATGTAATAATATAAAAAATGCATACTATGGTGGGGTAGATCCTCATATTAATTTTCATGCTTAACTACCAATAGAGAGGTAAATACACACACTATTAGAAGAGATCCTCATGTCTCTTTACATTATAACTTCCACTGAAAAAGTATACATTTCAAATTCTTCATTTATAACTTAAAAACTAATTGTAATACAACATCAGCTATTAGACTCCACAATGTTTGTCCTTACTAGATACAGATATGTGCATGACAATTCCCAATCTATAGCTATATTTTTCTAAACATGGTGATAAGTAAGAAACTCAATTATTTACCCTTTTATTTCATGTGTTCCAGCCAGAGACAAATGGCTCCCATCTGATCCACAGATAATATCTGAAGGTCTCTATGCAATAGCTGTTGTGCTTAGCTTCTCTCGGATTGCATATATCCTGCCTGCAAATGAGAGCTTTGGGCCCTTGCAGATTTCCCTTGGAAGGACTGTAAAGGACATTTTTAAGTTTATGGTCCTTTTTATTATGGTATTTTTTGCATTTATGATTGGGATGTTCATACTCTACTCCTACTACCTTGGAGCTAAAGTAAACTCTGCTTTTACAACGTAAGTATGAAGTTGTGCTTAAGCAAAAGGAAATACAAAATTTTAGTCATTACCCGCTAGAGGCCTGAGGCTTGAAATGGTATATCGACATAGCTATATGTGAAAAAAACCACCCCTGACCAACACAGTTATGGCAACGAAACCCCTGGTGTAGATGCAGCTATGTCGACCGAAGAGTGCTTTCATCGATGTAGCTAATGTCATTTGGGGAGGTGGCATTTTTACACTGACAGAGAAACTCATTCTGTTGGTGTAGGCTGTGTCTGCTCTAAGGACTATGCTGGTGGGACTGTGCTGGCAGAGCTATGCTGGCAGAGCTGTGCTGATATCATCTCTGTTGTGTAGACATAGCCTGAGTTTGTGAGATGTTGAGCGCCCTCTGCTCCCAGTATAGTCAAATCAAGATGGGAAGAAATCAAACGTTCTGTGAAAAAATATTTTTTGTATTTGTTGTTTTGATTAAACATCTACACTAAAATCCCTTACAAAACTTTAAAATCTAAATCACAGACAGAAATTTGAGGTTATTTACTAAATTTGTCATAAGAACTGTGTATTTATTATATAATTAGTAACATTCCTCTCAATTCTTTCATACAGAGTTGAAGAAAGTTTCAAGACCTTGTTTTGGTCAATATTTGGTTTATCTGAAGTGACTTCAGTTGTCCTCAAATATGATCATAAATTCATAGAGAATATTGGCTATGTTTTGTATGGCATATACAATGTAACAATGGTTGTAGTTCTGCTCAACATGCTGATTGCTATGATCAACAGCTCGTACCAAGAAATTGAGGTAAGGTCTCTCTCTCTAAGGTATCTCTCCCTTTTGTTATGTTTTAAAAGGACACTAGAATCCTCTTAATGGGCACATTCTGATGGAAATAAGTATCAGTAAAGGGACTACCCCAGTTAAAGAAGCTCACAAGAAAACACTGTGGTAGGAGATAATGGCTTATTTCGTAACAACTTTAGAGAGAAAAAAGCTACAAAATATTACAAAGTCGAAGTTAGAGTGAGAACAACTCATTTACACCTTATTTAAACAGTACTTTGAACCATCAGTGAAAAACATGGTTTAATCATTCCCCCACCCCCACCCCCAGTCTGGGTTTGGTTACTAGCATTGAAAGGCCAAAACTTTTTTTTCCAAAACAGTTTGGTCTGGTCCACACAGACAGGAATTTGGTAGCCAGAACCATGTTTAAGGGCCTGTCTAGACAGTAAAGTTATGCTTTACCATGTCACCATGTAGTTTAATCTGTAAATAGTATCAAATTGTGTTATAAACATATTTCTACACAATGATATAGCCCAGTAAAAACCCAGAGTCCAAACAAGAATTCAAACAAAATCAAATTTCAACTCTTTTCTGGATGGAAGCAGTATCAGTGACAATGCAAGTGTGAATGCAATTCTAATCAGAATCCCCCTCTTCCTTCTTTCTATGGTTGGCAGCTGAGTCCTGTAGCTTAATGATCCCCTACTGCATTTGTTCTACAGCCATTTAATACCTGCCAATCTGGTCCTCTGCCCTGCAGACATGGCAGAAAAACTGGGTTGAGGATTTGGCTCTACCTGGCAAACAAGCCAAGCTGTTTGGGACCTCCCAGGATCTGGACAGATAGTATAGTTCATTACCTTTATACAGACATGAGAGTATGGTAAGCACTGTCCCCAAAAAAGTACAACTTAAACAAACTTTCAAATGAAGGATGGGATACAATAGACAGCAGAGCTATTGAGCAGACAATTTTAGCACATGGCTAGTTGATTCCCTAATTCTTACTTTTTAAACATTTCATAACACCTTTTCCTGAACACAGTACATTTGACTGGATGGACAGGCCTTCGGTGCTGGTTAGATGGATTTTACTGTATTCCATAAAGATAATTGGCTCGCTAGTGCATTTTCCCCAAACCTTTTAACTAAACATAGATGTGTTAGATACTTCAGCTTCATTAATACATACACTTTCTTAGGTTTACGCACTATGCTAATGCATGACATAAGCAAAGATTTTCGTGTGAGAGTGTTCTGATGACTAAATCACATTTAACAGCTGTTTCAAGCTTAATTATTCAGTCTGAAGTGTAAGCACCATTTTTCTGCTTTCAGTACAATATTTAAAACTTGATTCTAATCTTAGCTACACATTGCCGTGTGCCCTGAAAATTTAGTGGCTGCACTCACACACACCTGCAGAGTGGCAGATTTTTAATACCTGCAGTTTATCTTAAATTAGAATGAGTTCTCAAAATTATGAATAGCTATTTCATCTCAGCCAGGTGCTTTATTTGGGGTTCATTGGGACTGCAAATATACCTCTACCCTGATATAACGCTGTCCTCGGGAGCCAAAAAATCTTACCATGTTATAGGTGAAACCGCGTTATATCAAACTTGCTTTGATCCACCGGAGTGCTGCTTTACCGCGTTATATCCGAATTCATGTTACATCGGGTCACGTTATATTGGGGTAGAGGTGTAACTTCATTTCAGAATTTAATTAATTAAATGTAGGTGCTTACCGTTCAAATACTGTGCAAGAAAGGAAGGAAAGAAAGAAAGACACACCCAAACTGCTGAAGATTACTGGTTTTAAAAGTCAAAACCAGATTGCTTACAAAGACAAAAGTATATTTAAGATGCCAATCAATCTGTGGCCTTACAAAAACAGTTTTAGCAAAATTTCATCTTGCTTTTGTGATATCAGAAAGTACGTAAAAATTACGTACAAATAGTTTTTTTTGGAAATTCTAAGATGATTTACTCTGTACAAAATATGATGGAAACATCCAAACTTTAGGGTCTATTCTCTGCTCCCTACTCACATATTTATGGTCCAGATCATGAGAGATTTTAGTATCTGCTGGCTCTTGAGTGACCTATATTAAATGGAATTGATGATTTCAGTCAACCCTTTCTAGACAAGAGCCCAAATTATGCAAATCACCATCATGACTGGCAATTATACTCTGGCTGGCAATCTCAGCAGACAGGCCCAAATGTATTGCCATGGGGACTGAACTATGCCATCACACCTAGTTTAGAGGTCCCTACAGTTCACCTTGGCAGGATATAATGGGAAAACTTTACCTATTCTGTGGGTAAATGCAGGGCTGCAGTATCCAGGGCTGTAATTTTGGCATTTTTTGATGAGTAATAAATTGACTTAAAAATTTAAAATAAAAGGAGAAAAATCAAAACATGTTTTGCACATGCATTTCTGATACTTTATATTCCTTAGGATTAAATTTAATCTGGAAACAAATAAACTAACTTTTCATCTTTGGAGAATGTGTTCAAATTTCAGTGAGTTGAGGCTCGCAAAACTGCCATGAGATTTTACCAGTCTGGGCACAAAATCTGTTTGCTTATTCCTTCCTATGGATGCCAATTAAAAAAAATGATACTGGGTTAACCATCAAAAGAAGATCAAAATTAATGTTCATAGGCAGGGCTGTGTGGAAAGGCTTGCATGTTAACTGCTCACACTATACCTACCCAAAAGGCAACACTATTATTTCCTCACTTGCATGGCACCACATTTCAGCATTAAATTTAAGGAAGAAAATACTTGCTTTTATTAAATAACTTTCTCTTTTAATAGCAGGACCTTAATATTTCAGTTTTCACTCATTGCAGATATAACACTTTTTAAAACTATTTGCATGCTTCAACTAAATATGACCATAAAAATAGACACAGCAGGAATTAAGTTAAAATAGACTTGATAACGCAGCTGCATTTCAGTTGGGAATCATTGACACTAACAAGTTCATCACATTTCTGTATAAAACAAAAAGAGAAGCTATTTAAGGTAAACTACTTTTGAAAGAGTCTTGAATTGTATGAAACCTAAAGTTAAGTAAAACAAAGTAGACATCTTTTTGTTTCCAACGCAGGATGACAGTGATGTGGAGTGGAAGTTTGCTCGCTCTAAGCTCTGGTTATCTTACTTTGATGATGGAAAAACATTACCTCCGCCGTTCAGTCTTGTACCAAGCCCCAAGTCTTTTTTCTATTTCATCATGAGGATCGTCAGCTTTTCTAAGTGCAGGAGGAGAAGACTGCAGAAAGATACTGAAATAGGGATGAGTAACTCCAAATCTAGGGTAGGTCTTAAAATGTTTTCATTGCACTGGATAAATGTGTTTGCCTCCTAGCTCTTTTCTTTCCTTTAAATCTTAGGGGATAGTTTGTACTTGTGAAGGATAGTACCATAATTAATCAAGCATTTTATTTTTAAAGTGCTGTAACCAGATGCCTTTTAAGCACAGCACAAAAGCAAAGTAAAATGATACAGTTTTGCAAGGCAGCAAGGTCCCTTTACTAAATATAACTGAAAGCATAAATAACCCAACAAAAACATCATTCCTCGCCAACTACCAAACAACAAAAATAAAATCCCACAAGAAATGCCCTAAATAGTAAACAAAGAAGTCTTCAGCCTTATCCAGAAAGATGCCACTGGTGGACTTTCATGTATTTTAAGGGTAAAAACTGGAAGATCTGGAAAGCTAACTTTTCCTTTCATCACCAGAATAGGTGAAGGGGCAAGTTTAGCCAGCTATATAGTATACCATTTCCCAAACTTCTTCACTACCAAAAGCTATGTTCCTGACAGGGATGAGGGATAATTATGCCTTTGTGGTATAATAATATCTAGCGCTTCCCTAACATCTTCACTCATAGCATCTGAAATGTTCTTTACAAATAGCAATAAATTCAGTCTTGCAACACTCCTGTGAGGTAGATAACTATTGTTCCCATTTGCGGATGGGTACAAGGGACACAGAGAGGTTAAAAGTGACCTTCAAAGGATTTTTTTATAAATTAGGATCATCGCCTTTTTTGATGGTTTACCTGGTATACAGAAGGATTGAAAGAATATTTTTTAAAGTCATATATTTTGGTTGCTTTTTACTTTATAAAATATGGGAAATGTCAAGTTTGGTCTTTGCAGGTTTTGATGAAGGGCTTCCTGAAACTTCTGTTTGTTGTGACCTGTCAGGAGTGTTGAATCTTTAACAAAGATATCTCTCTACCTTCATATTATTTGGGCACTGGAGTTAAATATGTGTGTAAATAAATAAATAAATAAAACCCCACACATATCCCCAAAAGTAGTTTGAAACAGTTTAGCTAAAAAACCTTTCCCCTCCTAATTACTGGGTTGTCACTCTGTGGTCTCTTGTAATGTCCTCATTTCACGAGTACTCCAGTCTTCAGAAAGTCTTTCAAGATAGGTAAAACCTGAACTTATAATGTAAAAAAAAAAAAATTAAGCAGAATTGTTTCTGTTATGATAAAAACACTCAGGCTTTCTTTATACATCACAGAGAAACAAAATAGAGTGTGTGTGTGTGTGTGTTGATCTATCTGTATCTATATTTTTAATGGTCACTTTTAAATGACTTTAAATGGTCACACAGGAAGTTCATGGCAGAGCCAGTAATAGATTCCAAGAGTCTGATTCTCCTCTCATCTCCACAAGTTTTTCACTGCTGTAACTCGTAATTCCCACTGCTATAAATGAGGCCTCAGATCTTCTAATCCCCAACCTTATGGTTTAGCCACAAGACCATCTTTCCACAACCCTTTTTCCCTTCTCTTTCTACTCCAGAGCTATAAAACTCTAAGTATTTGGACTCTGATAGCAATTACAAGAGTTTATTGCTGCACTAATAACTTGATGGTGAACTGTTTTCCAAATATATTATTATTATTCCTCAAGGCCATGGTTCAGCAAAACACATATGCCCATGCTTTGACTTTAATGAGACTTGGGCACATTCTTGAAGTATATGCTTAACTGATTTGCTGAATAGGGATGGCCTTAAGCAGATACTTGAAATTAAACTCATGCTTAGGTGCTTTGCTGAGTTTGGGCCCAAATTATTTTCAATGTTTTCTGAAAACAATATTCTGAAATGATGCGCTACTGCCAGATGAAGCTGGATTATAGTAGCTGTGAATTCCATAGAATATGTTCTAATTTAGCTTTATTGTTTCCTAGTTAAACCTCGTCACTCAATCTAACTCAAGGGTTTTCGAATCGCACAGTTTTAACAGCATTCTCAATCAGCCAACACGCTATCAGGTAAGGAATTCAGTGGGCTCTAGTTTAGAGCACTGTGATAATGTGAGGATACTAACAGAATTCTGTGCTTCAAATACACTGAGTCTTCCCAAGACGAAAAAGAATTATCTCGGCAATCAGAGAAGCATATTGTTGCTGCTGCTGCTGTGTGCGCACAGTACTTGTAGCTTGTTTTTCAAGCCCCATCATTTGAAACATTTAAAACTAGTTCTCCAATAGGCCTTTCCTTGATCTGACCATTTTGACAGCCTGTGCAGCAAGTGACAGAAGCAAATTTCTGGGGAAAGATCCAGAGAGCACTGGGTTGATATTATCTTCTCTTCCTTTCTTTAGAGGTTCTTTCTGATTACATGTGCTCTGTGATGCTTGAATGTCCTGGAGATGGAGGGGAAGTTTAGACTTGAAATTAGACGAAGGTTTCTAACCATCAGAGGAGTGAAGTTCTGGAACAGCCTTCCAAGGGGAGTAGTGGAGGCAAAAGACATATCTGGCTTCAAGACTAAACTTGATAAGTTTATGGAGGGGATGGTATAATTGGATAGCCTAATTTTGGCAATTAATTTGTCTTTGCCCAATGGCTTGTGATGGGATGTTAGATGGAGTGGGATCTGAGTTACTACAGATTTCTTTCCTGGGTGTCTGTCTGGTGAGTCTTGCCCACATGCTAAGGGTTTAGCTGATCGCCATATTGGGTCGGGAAGGAATTTTCCTCCAGGGCAGATTGTCAGAAGCCCTGGGGGTTTTTCGCCTTCCTCTGCAGTTTGGGGCATGGGTCACTTGCTGGAAGATTCTCTGTACCTTGAAGTCTTTAAACCATGATTTGGCTCAGGCACAGGTTTGATACAGGAGTGGGTGGGTGAGATTCTGTGGCCTGCATTGTGCAGGTCAGACTAGATGATCATAATGGTCCCTTCTGACCTTAAAGTCTATGATTCTATGAGAGAAGTGGGGGGACAGGGTGGCTCCTTCTGCTAGGATGCGGAACCTGTCAAAGACCATTTCATACAGCTCAGAAAGGGAAGAATATTTGCTCTGGCCCCTACTGGTGAATCTTTTGCACACTAAGCAGATCCTGTGAGGGCCGGCTGCAGGTTTTTTGCCGCCCCAAGCAAAACAAAATAAAATGCTGGAGTGTCGCCGCCGAAGCAAAAAAAAAACAAAAACCCCCAAGTGCCACCCCTTGAAAAGTGTCGCCCCAAGCACATGATTGGAACGCTGGTGCCTAGAGCCGGCCCTGGATCCTGTGAAAGGGGCTTTAGGAATCTGTAGGGGTTAGGTTAGGCTATATATCAGTAAATAAACTTGCATAGCCACAGATATGAGAAGGGCAACAACAGGAGTGCACAAAAGGAGCCCTTGCAGTAGGGGTGTCCAAAATATGGCCCAACGGCCAGATCCTGCCTGCTTAAAACATTTATGCCAAAGGACATACTTAGACTATGCAGAGTTTATTGTGAAAAAAGGTGAGTTTCTAGTCCTCATGGTTGCAAAGATGACCTTTCAAATATGAATCAAGTATAACTGAGACAGTGCTGTCTTCCTGAGGCTGCCAACAGCTTTACATAATAACGTAGAGGTGTAAACTCCCTTGTCTCAGAGTCAGCTTTGAAGCCCAATGATGATATGTCAATGTTAACATTAACGATTTCATTGCTGATCATTTTGGTTTATAGAATGGAGAAGGGAGTGGCAGTGAATCCCACAGGAAAGCAGGAAATGAGTTTTTCTTCAGGGAAGGAAATGCATGGAGGACAGGAGACTCACGAAGACAGAGAGGGAGAGAAAATGAGAACAGACAATAAGAAAGGAAGAGAAACAAAGGGTAGAAAAGCAGAGTGGAGCACATTTCCTCACTGAGTGATACTGACAGACAGCAAGGTGCTGAAAAAATAAATAATAACTAAAAGTTATTTATTATTTGGTGGGCTGGCAGGATTGTGAGGTGCTCAAGGAGCCGTGGAAACATTTAAAAAATGTCTAACCAAAATGTCATTTTGACTTTCTAAATGAAATTTGGGATTTCCTGTTCTGCAGGAAATTTTGGAACTTTGTCTTTTGTTCTGTTTTAGAACAAAAACTTGCTTTAAATTTCAGAATTTATCACCGATTTGGAATTCCAGTTTCCACCCAGCTTTAGTTCCCACACTGTGGTCCATAAATCCCTGGTGGTTTGTGGAAGCATTTGCTAGCTAGTCACATTGTGCTGACTTTTTTTTTCTTGTTTCCAGCTGCCAAACTGAAATAAAAGCAGCTAAAAATTCATTAAATACCTTCTGTAATATTACTTAACCCTGTAAGCAATTGCTGTAGTTGTCACAGGCATATTATGCAATCATGAAGGGGAGAGGAGATGGCTAATGCCATGTGCGTGTGAGAAGTGGTAGTCCACTTGATCTGAATGGGCAGGAGGGTGACCCCAAGACAATCTTCCTGTTAAATTGTGACTCGCATGATGAAAACGTCTGAGAACCCCTGCCATAGATAATGATAAAGTGAATTCAGCTGCAAAAAAAATTACTGTGAAGGGGCAGAATTAAACCCCTACAATTGAGAGGTAATGCTGAAAACTTAGGGGATATTGCAACCCTAACCTTTTCCCATGGACAATCATATATGAGTTAAAGGGATGGAGTGGTAAACAGGATGATCAGTCCTAATTCTAAATGATCTGACTTCAGTGTATTTAAACGTTTTTTTTAAATAGTTGTGTTTGAAGTTTTTGCCCATTTGGTACATACATTAAACTAAAGAAACAAATCCTAAAGGAAGGTCACAACACACTATATATTCAGGCTTGCCAAGATCAATCACAGTGAAAAATTTATGGCTAGTTAATGTCAAACAGCAATCCCCATAGATTAATCCAAGCATATATGTCAATTTAAAAGATTGCTCCTATGTCCAGATACTTTTTACTCTTGATCTAGAGCTGACCTGTAGGCACACATAAAGTGCTTAGGATGGGGTTGGTGGCTTATCAGAGTTCAGTACCTCGTGAGATACCTGAGTTTCAATCCAACCTCAGGATGCTCATGCCTTGTGCTGAAAGGGGTTCACAGCACTGACGTGAAGCTCTCATCATTTTGGGTGAGGGCACATATTTAGGGGCAAAACCTGCTCCCCTATTTGGGTACAGAAGGATCCAAACACAGTAAAACCACCACGGTTCTGCTGAAGCAGGAAGCCGACTGCAGAGAGGCTGCACGGGATAATTCCATACCTTTTGTACAGTGAAAAACAGAACAGTGCTCCACAGCTATATCAAGGGAGTTGGAACAAGGTGGGAGGGGTCGCAATTGAGTCCATTTGGGGTTGTTTCCAGTTAGAATCACGGCATCGGGAAAGGGCTGTAGAGGAGCTGTTCTGGTATGTGGGGCCTGCAGGATTCCATCCCTGATGACTGTGTAGATGTCTCTTGTATAAGGCCTATTACTTAGGCTTTGCATGGGGGTCCATAATTTTAAATCTTAAGCAATAACAATGGAGGTAACTTGGCGTTTCCTGAGTATTAATGACTGGCTGGAAGGAGTTGATGGCCTGAAGTTCAAATAAATACAAATGCCAGCTGGTCATTAATCCTCAGGAAATGTTCTATGCTGAGGTCATTATTGCTAAGTCCTGCAGTTCTTTTCAGGCAACTCTCTCATTGCTCTTAAGCCTGAGTAAGGGACACTGCTTGAACCATAAGGTGAAAATGAAATAACCAGATGAATGTGCAGTTTGGGCATTGTATTTTCAGATGGTATTTACAGGAAATTTCTATAGCATTAATGCCTTGTACAATAGCCAGTTTGATTTTATAAATCATCTCTCAGCACTCCATTCAACCTTATATTGTATGGTGCATTCTGATCAGTAAAGAGCTGCTTTATTATAGCCTCAGGGAAGGTAGCAAGTCCTCTAAATCATAGCATGTATGCGGTGACACAGCTCCTGCCAAAGCACAAGGAAGTAGAATGGGACCTTAGAAAGTAAGGGATGGGGGAAAATCAACTCGGAAGGTGTGAATGAAAATCCTACAGTTAACCTAACATACTGAGTCCCTGACATAGGGAAGTTAGAACTAGAAGTCTGCACAATATTTATAATGTAATGGAAAGAATTTTAAATTTGAAGATTTGGATATTTTGTTACAAGTGCGAAGAGTAGTCATATTTTCTCAAAAACATTGCCAAATTTTGCTAATTTTTTCCAGTAAAAACACCCATTTTCAAGTGAATGTGGCTTTGTTGCAAAATCATGTGAGGATTGGTACATGTTTTAGATATAAAAAATAGCTATTTTGTAGAATTTTGTGGAGAAGCAAAATTTCAGGGGTGTGAAATTGCTTGGGATGAAGGGACAATAATGTCATGAAAATATTGTTAGCACTTTTGTACCACTCCAGTTAAGACCTCCTGCTGGCCTGGGCTGCATATAAGAGGAATGTAGACAAGGAAGGGATCATAATTTAATATCTGGGTCTACTTAACCCACCAATAAAAGCAAAGATGAAGAAAGTGCTGACTTCTTGGCTGTGGGACGTTTCACTTACAGGCATATGAGACATTTAAGTGAATAGAACACAGGCTGTCTAACTGCTTAACTATGTATTTTTTGTCCAACAGCAAATCATGAAAAGGCTTATAAAACGTTATGTTCTGAAAGCACAAGTGGACAAAGAAAACGATGAAGTGAATGAAGGTGAGAGCCACTGTAAACACAGCATTCACAGATATTGTTTTTCTGCAGGACTATATTATTATTATTTATTTGTTCTACAGTTACACCTAGAAACACCAGCTGAGATCAGGGCCTCATTCTACTAGATGAACTTAGCACAAATACACAGCAAGAGACAGTCTTTGCCACAAAGAACTTGCAATGTAATAGGCAAGACAGACAAATGGTGGGAGAAAGGATGTATTATTCCTATTTTCTAGACTGGGTAACTGAAGGACAGAGAGATCAAGTAACTTGCCCAAAATCTCACAGGAAATCGGTGGTGGAGCCTGGAAATGAACTCAGATATCCTACGCCTCAGTCTGGTACCTTAAGCACCTTGAAAATCCTTCCTCTTCATTTCATTTCAACTGAACACGCAATGTATTGTATTACACTGTGAACCATAAAACTAGAAGAGGGAAATGGAAGAGGGAACATTCACCTGTAAAATTGCATGGCCCTGGGAGAACCACCAATCTACACTGAAAATGGCTATGTGGTAGCTGTATGGTGGGAAAAGAAAGGGGCAATGGCCACAGTTCCTGGTGGGGGCCAGAGTCCTATGAGAAATGGTAGGACAGCTCTTAACGAATCTTAGTCGGCCTCAGAAAGCTTCTTTGACCCTAGTTCTATTTCAGCCAAGGCAACATGGCTCTCTAACTTGCAGTAGTGACGTTGGCCTGTCAATTGGTCACTACATACCCATAACTCTCTGCAAGGAGAAGCAGACGTGGAAGCAGGAAGTTAGTTATGCTCAGAGAAAAAAGAATTTATGATGCAAAATGCATCATTGGTTACTCTGCTTGAGAGGCAAACATGCTGCATAGCAGCTGTTACCCTAACTCCTCCCCTCACCAGATGGCCCTTACAGAGCTGAGCTTGTGCACTGTAGAAGCAGAGGCTGCAGGCAGTTTGTATGATGGGGAAGGATGCCCTGCATAGCTTTCTTCCCTCTGTATGGCCCTCTCACCCCAGTTTCTGCAGGATTTCCATGGTTTTGCACTCATTCACACTACACAGTGAGGGGAATCATATAGGCCTATATTAAATCACACATGCATTGCACTGCTCAGCAATACTTCTTCAAACATAGTGCTATCAAAACCATTCATGTGACAAAAATATCACTCAGAATATTGCCTAAACATTGGTGTGAAAAAAAAGGCAGTTCTTTTTTACTGCTAAACTGTAATAATTAAAATCTTTTAAGAAAGACATTGAAAAATATCCTTGAAAACAAACATCCTGCATGCTAAATTTGTTAGTTAGCCCTGATTGATGTTAGTGCTCATGGTCTCACATCTAGATTTAAACTGGATCTTATTTAATTACTGCCACTACCAATTCCATCTCTACAGTTAAGGCTAATTCATGCAAACTCTGCCAGGTATAGGGTTTAGTGGCTTGATTTATTCTAGTGAAATCATTTGGACTATCCATGCATGATAGGAATGGGCCCTTCTTTCAGAGCGGTTTAGCACTTATTTTTAATGTTAAGCAAAATAGCTTTCTGAAAAAAATTGATGCTTTATACACCGAAAGCCTTGCTACCATACTAAATATGCTTAAATGTACAGTAACTCCTCACTTAACGTTGTAGTTATGTTCCTGAAAAATGCAACTTTAAGTGAAACGATGTTAAGCTAATCCAATTTCCCCATAAGAATTAATGTAAATAGGGGGGGTTAGGTTCCAGGGCAGCTTCCCCTACTCTGCAAGCACCAGAGGCGGGGGATTCAACCTTCAGCCCGCCCACTCCACTCCTTCCCCCAAACCCTCACCCTTGACCCGCCTCTTCTCCCCCACACCTCCTCCCCCTTTACTTCACTGGCTGCATCCTGGCTCCTCCTCACCCCTCCCCTCCCTTCTAAACGCCAAAAGCCAGCTGATTGCTGAGTAGGGGAGGGAGGGGGGAGGCACGCCAACTCCTCGCTACTCCCCCCTCCCTTCTCCCTGGGGCAATCAGCTGGCTTGCTGTGTTCCGGAGGCAGGGGAGGGAGCGGGAGCCTGCACGCCGAGTCCTCGCTCCTCCCCCCTCCCTCCAAAACGCCGCAAGCCAGCTGATTGCTGCCAGCAGGAGGCGGGGGGGAAGAGGGGGAAGTCGCTGATCCGCTGAGTCTGCCAGCGGGCGGGAGGTGCTGGGGGGGAGGAGGCCACAGGGAGGCTGCCAGCTGTGGAGAAAGCAGACAGCCAAACAGTGTAAGAGTGGAGCATTGCACAACTTTAAATGAGTATGCTCCCTAATTGCTCAGCAATGTAACAACGAAACAACGTTAAGCGGGATGACTTTAAGTGAGGAGTTACTGTAAATAAAAACATATTCTAAACTTATTTTTCACTCTCATAACCTGTGAATCATTTCCTGAGTGCTATGGCATTGGCAAAATAGTGACAGCCGCAAAAAGACCGTCAAGCTGATTGAAACCTGAATCTAGGCTTGAAAAGAAATTAAACTATAATGTATACCTTAATCTTATTTTATACACCGTAAACTAGAAATTTCTGTACATTTGAAAACCAGTAAAATATGAATAAAAAGAAAACAAAATCAAGAGAATAGCTGTAGTAACTGAACAGCCCACTCTGAAATCTGTTATTACTACTGAACTCATTTCTGACTAAGAGTAGAATAGAAAATGGAAAGTGCACGGCACACAAATCCCAGGGGTGCTGAGTTTCTAGATGATGCCAAGGGTTGTACAAAAAAGAAGAGTACAGCATACAGTTCAATTTGGCATTTTTGGCCAGAAGCCCAGAAGTATGTAACTGTACCAGAAAAACTTTAAAATTTATATTCTGGTTTTGGTATTTTTAACTTACACATACATCTTTTGCAAAGCAGGATAGAGATGATGGTATCTACTGTTCTGTCACCAAAATGCTTGACAAAGCACAAGTCTTTTGAAGGGTTTTGTCCCTTCTTGTGTTTGCACTTGGATTTCAGGTTAGCAGTACAGTCAAGCACTGAGAGCACAACACAGAGTCAGGAGACCTAAATTCTGATCTTTCACTGCTTCTCCTTTGTGACCTTGAGCAAGTCAGCTGACCTCTCTGAATCTCAGATTTCTCAGCAGTAAAAGAGATCATATGTACCCTGCATCATACTTATCTCACAGTGGTATTGTGAGGATTAATTATGGTTTTCAAAGCATATTGGATGTAAGGTGCTATATACACTGTGGAAAATCCTTTGATTGCTAAATATTATTTCAAATATATGAGCCTAAGGATTTCACTTTAAGAGAACAGTAAAGGTCTTATTTTGTACTCTGCACTTCACACATGGCAAGCAATTTTCTGCCCAGGGTACTGGATAAAAATTGACAGCACTCATAGTTTGTGGGAAGAATGATACTTTGAATATTCAAGAAAGGTTCTACCCTTGAAGTCCTGAAATAAAGACCACTGTTGCTTGTCACTAACCTGGCCTTGATATTTGTGTTTTGACCAGGAAGATTTTACTTTAAGTACCGTTTTTATACTTGTCAAAGTCTGACATCCCTTAAAATAGGTTGATTTTTCCCCCTGCTTTCTAAAGATGGGCTTTTGGTTAAGGAAGAAGACAGAGCCTCAGAAGATGTGTTTTTATCTTTGCCACACTCTTCCTGTGTGACCTAAGCAACTCATTTAAAAATATCCTTCCATGCTTCTTCTCTATAAAATAGAGATAATATTTACCAGTCTCACAATGATGTTATGATTAATTTATTAACATTTGTAAAGTGTTTTGAGAACCTTAAATGTACTATATACAGGTGAAGTACAGTGTTAGTTTATTAGGTCAAGGAAAGACGTATGGTATTCTGATGAATGTTTTGGTTGGGTAGGAGATAATTCTAAAAATGTGCATTGTTGTGACTTAAAACTTTAATATTTAACAAACAATACTAAAGTATTTCTTTCAACAATTAATACAGGTGAATTAAAGGAAATCAAACAAGACATCTCCAGTCTTCGCTATGAACTTTTGGAAGATAAATCCCAAGCAACAGAAGATTTAGCAATTCTAATACATAAACTCAGTGAGAAACTCAACCCCAATATGTCAAGATGTGAATGATTCAATGAATTATCGGGATTCCTGGCATTTTCTTCAGCACAAATATTGGCAATAATATTTTGGAGTATCTTATACTTGAAAAATATATTGTAGATTTTTAGCACTAAATAACTTTATGTACAGCTTTCTTTAAATTTAGTCAGGAAATTTTATTAACTCATCACGCAAAAAATGCTCTGTTCATTTAAGTGTATTGAAAAGTAAGAACTCTCATACCAGTTTTTGCATTTAATAAGAAAGTACAATTGAAAGTGAAAAAATCTTGCATTGCTGATATTTTGACTGTTTTATGAACAAACTTCAAAAACTTTGCACTAAACAATTTGCACACACACACACAAAAAAGGCACTGCAAAGGACCCTGTTCCCTGCGGCAACTGGTGTGAACAGGATTCTCTAGAATGTAATAAATAAGGAGTAGTCAGCTGAGTCTCAGTTAAGTATTATTTGAAATATTTATGTTTTTTCAATTATTCTAATAACAGATATGACCGAAGAACTCACAGAATGGGTACTTTAAGATTTAACAACGAATATCAAAGCGTGAATATAACTTTAGGAGCACTGTTTAACATACATAGACTACAGTTTGTTTCTTAATGCAGCATAATGTTTGCTTTCAACAGTAGGGACTAGAAACTTTTGAAGGTAAAGTGAATTCAGTCAAAAGTTATTCTTTCTTGTGGTAGAGATGATTTTTTTTAAATTCAGATTCTATGCAGGGCTGGTATTTTGTTACACTATTCTAAATGATGCCTCTGATGCTTACTTGTTAAATAAAATATTCATACTTTACAGGCTCTTTAACTTGCCCCAGTTACTCAGCACCTGATTTTGATGTGTACAGTGGTATACACAGAGACTTTTTACAACAATCAATCAAAGGTAATAAAAAGATGTTTTAGGCAGTATTGGTAGCAACACCTATACCTAACATTACCTAACATTTTCCATTATAAGACCTTTCAGTTGCTTAAAGCTTTGGCAAACCTATGATGTTCAAGCTGGAATTTTCCATTCCAGATGTGTGTGCACCTTCGACTGAATTTTTTGGAGAAATTTCAGCAAAAACTAAGCCATTTCTGAGACGAACTTATGGGAAAATATGTTTTGCTTATCTCAAAAAATTCTGTTTCACTGAAGTCCTAGCACCTCCTTGCTTTGGAGAAAGACTTGAAATTTTTGGCAAGGGAATTACCTATCTGTCAAGGATGGGCCTTTTGCTTTTCCATGAAAATCTGTCCAAATGTGGCCAAGCTACGTGCCTCTGAAAATTATAGTTTGTACATGTTTGGTAGAGTCTGGCACTGAAATTCTCCAAAGATTCTGTCTGCACTGCAAGTGTTCTATCCCCACAAAGCTGAAGCACACCAACTAGATAAGTGCCATTCCCACAGAGTGACTGAGCATAATCTACTCTAGGGATGAGCAGAATTTCCCCAAAATTGCCCTTGTAGACTGCAGAGGCCACGGTGTCGCTAGGCAACAGAGGCAAGAGTGAAGAGACTGTCTCTCTTTCTGCTCTCATAGCCCTCACTGACAGCATGGAAGAAAAGGGAGTAGCTGGAAGACAGAGGAATGAGGGAGGGAGAAGACTGGGCCAGGAGCCAGAATGTAAATTGGTATTTGTATTACTGTAGTGCCTGTGAGCCCCCACCAGGGAGCATAACCTCAGTGTGCCAGATGCTGTATAAACACAAAACAAAAGGATGATCATTGCCCCCAAAGAGCAATCTAAGTACTGTATAAGACAAGATGGATCAACAGGGGAGTTAATGGAAACAATACTGGTCAGCATGGTAACCAGTGGTTTCAACACTCCAGTAGCTTAGCCCTACTTGTCCAGTTTAGTTGTAAGCGTCATAGCACAGGAGTTTTGTAAAGCAGTGCAGTGCCAACCTAGAGGCATTTTGCCTCTCCCATATATTTCTTCTTGATGCTGAGCAAGTCACTCACTGTGTGTCCAGCTCATTTCCTGCCGACTAATCACAGAAATCCAGGGGCTGATTTACAGACATGATGGCCATTGGCAATGGCAGTTAGTCAACGGGGCACACCATGCCTGCAAAGCGCCTTCAATGACTCTCACTGCCATGGTACTTCCTAGTAGAAATTAAACTCCTGGGGAGCCTTCGTAGGAGCGCTCAAAGCCAGGAGGCATGATGCTCCCAGGTGCGTGAACCCCCCTGCCACGGGGCAGGGACTTTTAGAAAACTGGGTAGCAATTTCCCCGCCCAGTCTCCGCTGACAGTTGCAGTTAGACATTAGACAAGGAGGGCGAGGTATTATCTTCCAGTACCAACGCCAGCAGTGATGTCACCGGGGCTGAGAGCTCGGCCCCCAGGAGCAGCGCCGACCTTGGCAGCCCCACGATGGCCACTGTGCTGGGAGACCCTCATCCCAGCCTTCTCTGTAGAAGCGGCTGCGGCTCTGACGCCGCAGCGGTATCTCCGTCCTGCCCACCATAAGACCGGGTGGCCCGCTGCCTCCAACCACCCGCAGCCCTGCCCGCCCCGCTATCACCATCCGTCGCCCGTGAGAACCGAGGGCGCGCAACCCCCGCACCGCGCTCCGGCTCTGCGCCAGCCTCGCCGCCATCTCCCGCCTCGCTCCTCCCAGCAGGCCAGGCGCGGGCTCCTGCTGCAGCGGCCCCTAGACATGCCGCCCGCGCAGAGAGGCGGCGACGCCTTGCCCAATCACTGCACCTGTTCAATGCTGACCCCGCCCCTTCGCCGTCCCGCGTGTCCAATAGCAGGCCGACTTGTGGGGGAGGTGTCTTTTCGGCGTCTCCATGGTAGCGGATAATTAGCTGTCTCTGGGAGAAGGCTGGGGGGAGTTGGGCCGCTGGGCCGGGTTAGGGAGGCTGGGGCTGGGGCTGCGGCCGTCGGGGTCAGTCCCTGGACCGTGCGGGTGGAGTCGCCCCCGAGCCTGGGGCCATGGAGCTGCAACTGGCTCGCGTGGATTATTTGCAGGTAATGCCGCGGCCGCGCCGCGCGGGGCTCCCCAGTGATGGGACAGGGCTGGCGGCGGGTCTGTAAACAGAGGCTGTCTGGGAAAAGCTCCTGTGCCGCCAAGCCCCGCTCCAGCCCTGCGCTCCCAGGAGCCCTGCCTGTTATCACACTATGTAACATCTGCGGCGGAGTTTCCGCACGTTTCTTTGCTGTTGTTTCGCTGAGCCGGGACAAACGCTACCTGAGACCTCCCAGGCTTTAATAGATCCAGCCTCGCAACCCCTCTGCCAGGCAAGGATCGCCCCACTTTACACATGGGGAAACTGAGGCACAAAGTGGCTCTATGACTTGCCCAAGGTCACCCAAGAAGTTTGTGGCACAGCAGTGAAGTGAGTCCTGCTCTCTTAAATCTTAGGCTAGTGCCCTGAGTGCTGGACCATCCTTTCTTCCTTTCTCTCTCTCCCTCTCCTTCTTCCTGGCTGAGCATCTGGTAGGCTAGTCTACTGGATTGCATGTTAGGATATGTTTATTTTATAACAGAAAACTATTAGCATTACAATTAAAACCAAAATATATTAGTGTTAAGTTTTATGAAACTTTCATTTCCCACCCCCCAAATGTGGGGCCTAAAACAAGTTAAAATTTTGTTAAGATGATGTTAAAAAAAATTGTGAACAGAGTTTGAACATAGAAGTTTCTGGTTATCCGGGAATAACATACAGATTATCGAGGGTGCAAAGTTTGGCTTAAGATCAGGTGGCATGAGGAATACATAATCTGCAATATTAATACACCTTTAAAAAAATCAAGTATACCTTAAAACTGCTGGATACAAAGGCCCAAATCCTGCAGAGTGTTTCACTTTATGGACATGAATAGTCCTACTAAGTCAGTGGGACATCATACCTTTGTAATTCTAAGCATCTGCTTAAATCTGTGTAGTGTCAGGGCCTAATACTATAATCATAAATTAAATAGTATTTCTACACATTTATCTATACAGCTGTGGGGACTCTGCAGTGTGGGAGTCAGTAATGTCTGGGATAACAGAAATAAGCATCAGAAATAGTAATCAATATTAATAATTGGATCTATTATTAAATATTGCAGTTTTTGAAATATTACACCTGTTATGCATGTTGCTTTATTTTGGCTGTCTGCCTCAAGTAACTATCCAGGAAACAGGTGGTGTTCACATCTCTGAAACCAGTACCCCAACCAGAGGAATTAGCAGACTTGTCAGCAAGTACAAAGCAGTACAAGTCTCAAATGGATGGTCTTTACAATTCATCTTTTTATATGAGAGTTGTGGCATATTATTTTGGCTATCCAAGCAATGCTGAATTACTGTTCTTCTTGCTTTGTGGATAGAGGCGTTAAATAGCATGAACACTAATGCATGAAATTTAAAATAGAGGAGTGGGACTTAAATTTTTTGAAATGTAAGAGTTGAGATGTTCAGTAACGAGTTGATGTTTTCAAATAGGTGGGAGTGACATCTCAGAAGACCATGAAGCTTCTTCCTGCATCAAGACGTAGGGCAACACAGAAGGTAGCTTTTGTTGACAATGAGATACTTGTTCTGTTAAAAATTAATATTATTATTCCCTTGGAACAATAGTGGTGCAAATAATCTTTTGGTTCTTTCTATCTGGGACAGTATAGGCAAAGTTTCCCAACTAATTCTGTTTCAAGACCTGCTGACAATGCATGGACATTCTTAGGCTTTAGCTCTGGTCAAGTGAAAAATTCTCTTAGTTGTATATTTCTCCACCCTTGTTCTTTTTTGCTAAGAACACTTGTTAAAGACAGGAGTTGTTTGTTTGTTTGTTTGTTTTTTCTTTTTAAAACAGATCTTTTCTGGTGAATTCATGATTATGATTTCTGTGTGGGAAGAAAATATCAGAATAGATGAACTCTTAAGAAAACAATTATATGCTTTTTCATTTCTGGTAATAAGTAAAGGATGAGCAATATAAAATATAGAAAAACAGTTTTATCAAAATAATACTATTTTTTTCAAAGATTCCATTATGTGACAGATGTTCTTTAAAACAACAAATACGAAAAGGGTTGACAGTTAAATAATTTCAGAGAAATAATTTAGATTTAAGCTCTATGACTAAAGGACTTTGTCTTTATATCTATAAAGTGTTGTGTGCTTGTATGATATAGTATGATCATTAAATATGCAGTAGTTGGTAATGCTTACTTTCCATACTGCAGATGCACATGACTAATATAAGGAAAGTTCTTCCTTTTTAAGATGGGAAGCTAATGATCTTTACAGGAATAATGCTGATATAATTATGCATTACATTTTTGCAGGTTGTCATTGGAGATCATGATGGTGTTGTTACATGTTTTGGCATAAAAAAAGGGGAAGCTATGGTAAGGTCAGCTATTTATGTAATTGTTTTAAAGTTCTTGGTGTACAGTTTTTCATCTGTCCCCAATATTGTACATAATGAATATTAAAAAGCTGTTTGTGTTAATGAAAGGAACAAGATGGCTCCGGACATTGGCAAAAGGTTACTAAGCCCCATGATTCTAGATCAGTGGTTGGCTTCCAAACTATGTCAGTAATGACTTTTTTTTTTAAATAGTTAACATCTAACATATATTTAAATGACTGTGAACTAATTGCTCTGTAGAAGCTAAAGTTGTGGATAGCAGGACAACTTACAAAAACAACTTTCACAGCTTGTATCTTGGTAGTGTGTCTGATAAGTTAATTTTACATGTCCATAAAATCATTTTTTCATGACTAGAGATGATTTCTCTGGAATTGGAATGCAGCATGTATGTGGGGCACTGTGCAGAAGCTTGCACTACAGCTCTCTGTGCTGTGCTTCCATAAACAGCATGGAATCTTAAGTATTTTATCTATTAGCTTTTAGAGCACTGAGTTGATTTATAAAATGCCTGATTTCTTCACTGATACTGAGGAACAATGTATAATAGGTATCTGGGTAGCTGTGTTAGTCTGTATCCACAAAAACAACGAGGAGTCCTGTGGAACCTTAAAGACACAGATTTATTTGGGCATAAGCTTTCGTAAAGGCTTCTGCTTGCCTGCATCTGTAACTTTCACTCCATGCATCTGAAGAAGTCAGATTTTTTTACCCACGAAAGCTTATGCCCAAATAAATTTTAGTCTTTAAGGTACCACGGGACTCCTTGTTGTTTAACGTATAATAAAACCTCATCAGGTATACATGTTCTGTAAAATCACTGCAATTATGTCAAAAGTCCCAATGCAAATTTGGCATCTTTTGTATTTAAAAAAATGCAAATACAGTATTGAAATAATTAAGTATCACTTTCCTTTTTGACTTCCACAGCCAGTGTTCAAGACACTGCCAGGGCAAAGGATCACAAGGCTGGAGCTGGGAGGAGCTCTTAATACACCACAGGAGAAAATTTTTGTGGCTACAGGATCAGAGGTTAGAGGTTTCACAAAGAGAGGGAAGCAGTTCCTTTCATTTGAAACTAACCTCACTGAAAACATCAAAGCTATGTATGTGCAGTACTTTGTTTTTCAATATTATTTCATTTTAGTAAAACTAGTTGGTTAGTTTTTGGTTCTGTGAAAGAATTTTCTATCACATTAGTCTAAATTGGTTTTCTGGCAGGTAGCTCAGGAAAGTGGCCATCCAGATTAAGCACATCCCAACTAAGTGCAGTATACTATTGTGTTCTAATACTTATTTTTGTTTAATTTTTTTTAGTTTTCATGTACTCCTAGCACTCGTTTTTTTTCTCTCAAAATAAAATTTGAGGGTTTATTTTTCTGTACAACCAAGTAGTTGTATTAAGTTTTTCTCTAAAGACAGTATCTGTGCAAGATTTTCACTCTTAAGTCTCTTCTCTCTATCCTGAGATAGGTAGAACTCCTGTAAAGGTATCAGCAAGTCGGAGAGTGAGCCCCATTACAACTGCTTGTCATTCATTAACTTAATTGCTGCAATTGAAAGCTTCTAGCCAGCTCCTCTTCATCCCAATCAGCCTTGATGACATCCAGTATTCTTTTCTTTTTGTCCTTCCTTGACTTCCAGTCAGGCTTGTAGTGAGGTTTTTTGTAATCTACTTTTCTGATTCTCTCCGCCCTCCCCACCCCCCTTTGCATTCGTCACTGCTACTGGCCCAGGAGTACTGGCAGACACTTGGCTCTGAACAGCTCAGAGGAACTTAATGACTGCACTACAGAAACGTTGGGCTTAGTTATTTCGTTACTTTTTTTGTTTATCTCTGGGTCCCTTTGTTTTGGTGTTTCAATAATTATGTTGAGGCCTGGGCTCTGAGGCTTCTTGTTTTGTGTGGTTTCTGTGGGAATAGTTTGGGGTGGAGAGGAAGGGGAGAGAAGGGAATGTAATGAATTTTCTCAATCCCTTGGGAGGAAGAAAAAACATTCACTAAGGAAAGCGTGTGCCCTAGCTGATAAGGCACTGGAATGAGAGTTGGAGACCTGCGTTCTGTTCTAAGCCTTGCTTTTGATCTACTATATGATCTTGAGTACTTTGGATGAGTCATTTTACCTTTCTGTGCCTTGGTTTCCTTATCTGTAAAATGGGTATTATACTTACCTTCGTTTTGAAAAGTACTTTGAACTACAAAGGTAGTAGTATTTATATAAGTGGTGTCCATCTGGCAGAAAATTGTCACATTTGCTGCATCCTCTGTACTAAGACTTAGGTCTGCTGTGCTGGGATGTCAGGTTTGTTTGAAGATGTAACTCCAGGTACTCAGTGCCTTGAGCAATGCCTCAAAGTCTTCTTCAAGGCACCCCATATACATTTTCATCATTCTGAACCAGAGTGCTTAGAAAGTAAAATCTTTGAAAAGAGTGCCTGGGCTTAGCTGTGGAGCTCTGTGTCAGCACACACTCAGGTTCTCTCTTGGCTCAGCAGAATAGTTTCACCACGCAAGAGGCCTTTGTTGTACCTTGGATTCTGGGAGCACCCTTAATCTCCGAGTCCCCAAGGCCTTTCAGGTTCTGGTTCTTGAGATGGTGGTATCGTGTTCTGGCTCATTTGACGAAGCATCACCTCCACGTAAGCATCATCACCAAGAAACATCCAGAGAGCCAGCTGTCTTCCTGACACATAACTGCCCGAGGTTCTAGACATCACTGCATTGAAGGGATGGGGATGACCTGCTACTGCTGCCTGGAAGGGCCTGTGCCCTTGCAAACAGGTTTGGAACAACTGCTGAAGAAGGTGTGGCAAACGCTTTGCACCATAACTCCTCCTTTAAAGACTGCTGAGAATAAGTATGTATACTGCTGACTGTATCCCTCCCCACCCAAGAGCTTGGTTGTCATACCTAGAGGAAGACTGGCTAAACATGTGGCATTGCACTCCAGAACCCTGAGCTTTGGTACAAGATCTAATTTGGATACTTAGTGATGTGAACTAATAGGTCTTTGTGGCAAGAGGGCACATTAAATTTTGGAAAAAGCCTGTGCTCTTGTTAAGATTCTTCCTCAGGACAAATACCAGGATAATAAAAAGCTAATGCAAGGTGCAAGGACCTGGCATCAGAGGCTTGTGGTCTTTGATGCAGGAGATATCGAAGGGCGAGTTTTGTGGTTAGCTAACTCTTCTCTGGGCAGATTTTACTTCCTGCTAAAATCAGGAACTGAATAGAAGATTCTGAGAATAGTGGTTAAGTTCAGAGTTGGTATGTGATTGCCAGGGGATGTGTGGTGTACATTCTTACCTGCTACTACTGCCCTTAGAGAGAAAAAAACTTGGGAGTTGTGCCTGATCCAGGCTTGGGTGCTGAGACACAGGAGTGAGAATCCTGTAAGTAAAACATTTGAACTCCAGAGTGACCCCAAATTCCTTGTTAAGGGGCATATTTGGGAGTAGAAGGACAATTCCCACACAATACCAGTTTGAATATACCTTATCTTGGAAATGAACAACTATGGGGCCTGTTTAATACAGGAGGAGATGGGAGGAAATACATCCCTCTTTTTGTGGTGCACAAGACAAAACTTAATTTTTATTTGTATGAGCCTTAAGTATTTGATGTCCCATGTTGGTAATGCAGTATCAGGGTTAAAAATACTTCAGAGGTATCCGCATAGATTGAGGCACTGGCCCATTACTGTGTTTTCATAGTAGACTGTGAGTTAACTCATAAATATTTGCAGTTATTAAGTTTTGCATTTGGTTGTATGTGTACATTGGACACTTCAAAGGAAGCACACTAGTTTAGAAATTGTGGACCATTGATTAAAATATTCTAATGTGCTTGAAGGCCTTCTAGGTTTATTTTGCACCAAAATGTGATTATTTAATCACTGCGTGTATGTAAAATACTTAGATTTTTACAGTGAATAATGTTAGTATAATGTAAATTGCATATTTTGGATTAAAAGCTCAGGGCTTGTCCACACAGTGGGGTAGTGGCAGGACTTTTTGCCTTGGGCCCTAATGAGTCGAATGCCAGCCATGCTTGGCGGACCCCCTGAAATCTGCTCGCGGCCCCACAGGGAGAACCACTGGTGTAGTGCACACTAAGGGGATGTGATTTCTAAAGATCATTAACATGTTGCACATTAACTGATCCAGGGGTGGCCAGCCTGAGAATGAGCCAGAATTTACCAATGTACGTTGCCAAAGAGCTACAGTAATACGTCAGCAGCCTCCATCTGCTCCCCTGCACCACTCCAAGCATCTCCCGCCCACCAACAACCCTGTCGATCAGCGCCTTCCCCTCTCTTCCCGCACCTCCTGATCAGCTGTTTTGTGGCGTGGGGGAGGAGATGGAGCGAGGACATGGCAGGCTCAGGGGAGGGGGCGGGAAGGGGTTGAGCAGGGGCAGGGTCTGTGGCAGAGCCAGGGGTTGAGCAGTGAGCACCCCCTGGCACATTGGAAAGTTGGCGCATGAAGCTCCAGCACTGGAGTCGGTGCCTATACAAGGAGCCGCGTATTAACTTCTGAAGAGCCGCATGTGGCTCCAGAGCAAGAGGTTGGCCACCCCTGGACTGGTCGATGTAGACCATGCTGCTGTGCATTAAATGTTCCTTAGTGCACTTGAACATAGTGCTGTTCAAACATTCAGCATTGTGTTCAAGTGCACTGGAGAACCTATAGCATGCACCAGCAATGTCCGCACAGACCAGTCAGTGAGCTCCAGAAATCATACCCCTGTAGTTTGTGTTGCTGCACCTTATAGACATGTCTTCAGAGGGTGGATGCTCATCATTTGCAAGTTAGTTCCATTTCTATAAATGGTATCCAACTAACCAAAAGCTTTTAACTGTTCAGGTTGAGGAGATAGCCTTGACATTATAAACCAATGTACAACATGCTTTTTCTAGCTGAAGGCTAAACTGAAATAATATCAAGAAGTTCAGTCTTCTATCCAATCATGTGTCAAAACTAGCGCTCCATTCCATGTTCATGTAAATATTAACTTAATTGCTGTGTTTGAATCTTACACCAGCATGAATGCAGAGTTCCACAGCAGTGGCTGAAGGTGCTCTGCTGGGAGATATGAATTGATTCTCTGACTCCGCTTTCTTTACTACTCACTCTCCCTAACCCATCCTATACCCATTATGGCTCCCTCCAGGATCTTGATCAATCTCACTACACTTCCATTGGCATGGCCTGTGGAATGGATTACAATTTTTGTTGCTGTAATAAACATTCTCTTTACAGTCTTACTGCTGGATTTTTTTTTTAATGTTAATTGAACACTCCACTTGGGGTGGTAGGCTGACTTGACTACTACACGTAGCAAATGGCAGAGTGACTAGTTCAGCAGGATATGCACAAAAAACACTTGCAGGGACCGTAGGTCAATAAAAATTTAAAAACCATGTTTTAAAAATATTTTCTCCATACTTTAACATGGAGTGGCCTGTTAGGGAGATGAAACAGGACTTGGAGCAGTCAAAAACACTCTTAAAATATTCATTCGAGTGTGTGTGTATATCTATACACACTTGAATAATAATTAAACCTCTTTAATTATTTCTGCGGTGATCTGGAAGCCTACTTTCGTTGTCTCTGACTCAAGGAATATTTTCAACGCACCACTGAACAGTGCACTGACCCACAGGAACCCTCCTACCAACACTACAAGAAGAAGAATTCTGCGTGGACTCCTCCTGACGGTCAAAATGACAGCCTGGACCTCTACATAGAGTGCTTCCGCAGACGTGCACAGGCTGAAATTGTGGACAAACAACATCACTTGTCCCATAACCTCAGCCGTACAGAACGCAATGCCATCCACAGCCTCAGAAACAAGTCTCTGACATTATCATCAAATGTCAAATGACAAAGGAGGTGCTGTAGTCATAATGAACAGGTCAGATTATGAACAGGAGGCTGCCAGGCAACTCTCCAAGATCACATTCTACAGGCCACTATCCTCTGATCCCACTGAGGAATACCAAAAGAAACTACACCATCTGCTCAAGAAATTCCCAGCTACAATACGGGAACAAATCTACATGGACATACCCCCAAAACCCCAACCAGGGGTATTCTCTCTGCTACCCAAGATCCATAAACCTGGAAACCCTGGACGCCCCATCATCTCAGGCATTGGCACTCTTACAGCAGGATTGTCTGGCTATTTGGACTCTCTCCTCAGACTGTATGCTACCAGCACTCCCAGCTATCTTCAAGACACCACCGACTTCCTGAGGAAACTACAGTGCATTGGTGTTCTTTCTGAAAACACCATCCTGGCCACCATGGATGTAGAATCTCTTTACACCAATATTCCACATGAGGATGGGTCTACAAGCTGTCAGGAACAGTATCCCTGATGAGGCCACAGCCCACCTGGTGGCTGAGCTTTGTGACTTTGTCCTCACCCACAACCACTTCAGATTTGGGGACAACTTATACCTTCAAGTCAGTGGCACTGCTATGGGTACCCTCATGGCCCCACAGTATGCCAACATTTTTATGGCTGACTTAGAACAACGCTTCCTCAGCTCTCGTGCCCCTCCTCTACTTGTGCTACATTGATGACATCTTCATCATATGGACCCACGGAAAGGAGGCTCTTGAAGAATTCCACCTGGACTTCAACAATTTCCACCCCACCATCAACCTCAGCCTGGACCAGTCCACACAAGAGATCCACTTCCTGGACACTACAGTGCAAATAAGTGATGGTCACATAAACACCACCCTATACCGGAAACCTACTGACCGCTATACGTACCTACATGCCTCCAGCTTCCATCCAAGACACATCACACGATCCATTGTCTACAGCCAAGCCCTAAGATACAACCGAATTTGCTCCAACCCCTCAGACA